AGCGTTAGGGTTAGGAATTATAGCTGATCAGTATTGTATAGCTTTTACTTCCTTTTAATTTTGGCCTATACTATACGGATCTGTTCACCCGTACTATACGAATATATATATGTAGAGTATGCGTATAGATTAACTATTCAGTATAGTATAATAAAATTTATTAGCGTATACATTTTGCTATACTCATGTGATTTTGCGTATAATTATCACTGTACTATCAGTACTAGTATGTTATACTGTAAATATCTAATACATAGTATATGGGGAACTTTATTAAACATGCCGATATGATTCTTTTTTTTTTTTTTTACTTACGTAAAATAATAAAAATCCTTTAATCTTACATGGATAACATTAAGAAAGAAGAAAGTTTTAGTTCAAGTTTTTACAAAGAAGTAATTGATTTAACAATCGATTCTTCTTCAAAAAGCGATTTTCCAACTATTGAATTAGATGACCTGGGAATTAATATAATGGTGAATTGCTATAATTATATACGTAGCATGAACCTTTTTTGGTTAATTATTAATTTAACTGGCACGAACCTTTTTTGGTTAATTATTAATTTAACAATAGAATATAGAGGATATTCGATCAATTGAAAATACTACGGATGATGAAAGTTCTTTTGAAACACCAATAATTAATTATTTTACAGAAGAACTTGTCATAAGAGATACCTGATTTTCAGCTATTCCAATTAAATATCCAGCAACTTCCAATGAAGGAGTTGCTTATGTTTTTAATATAAAACCATCTGATCCAATTGCTCCATTTAATGATGTAAATATTTTTTTTTTTGTAATTATTTAATCGTTTAATTTTTATTCAATATTAGCTTTTTTAGATCCAATACTCAATGGAAGGTGGTGGGGGTTCCAACAAAATCAATTGCCCCTATCTTAATTGTTGTGTAAAAAAAGTTGTTCGCAAATGTACTGGTGTTAAAATTTGTGAATATACTGAAAATGAACTTAGAAATTCATCACATTGTGAGGTTGATGAAAATAAAGACTTTTTTATGATAAATCAACCTAGTGAACTACAAACATCTATAGAAGCTCAGACATATGCGTAAATAATAAAATTTTATTATTTTATTTATTAAATTATTTTATTTATTATGTTACTTATTAATTGATTTATTATTTATTTATTTAGTAAATATCTTTCATTTACAAACATTTCTTGTCCATATAACAATAATAATTGCCCTGGTCATCTTATGATTTGTCAATTAGGAAGAAAAAATGACAACGATCCTGTAATAAAATTTATAGGATGTTCAAAATGGAATCCTTATGAAAAACATATATTTCATATATTAAATAAAAATCAAATTGATATTAATTTACTTGAAAAACTTTTTCAAGGAAAAGAGGTAATTAATTAAAAATATATACTATAGTATTATAAAGGTTATTTTTATATTAAATAACTATTTATTTTTTATAGAATATTAAAAATCAAATTTTACAAACTTGCAAAACTGTTCTATCAACATCATCACGCTTACAATATTGTAGTAAGTATTAAATTAAACTTTTATTAAATATATGGGGTTGAGTCAATAGAAATCAAGCAAATTTTTTCTAAATAAATTTTTTTTAAACTTTAAACAATAATAACTCAACATAAACTTAATCAAATTCAATAAAATTTTTTTTAAATAAA